TGTACATACAGTAATAGTACCCTGTCCGAATCGAGCATATTTTGGCTCTTTCTGGTTTAATTTACTGTGTAATTTTGTGCCTGTTTGTGCTCGAATATGAATGAGTGATTGTATACACTTGTACACATCCAATTACTTCTAGTTTTGTTCGTTTTTGTCAAACTAGTTGAGTTCTCCCCAAAATGAAAATGCACTAGTTAAATTTATGCTGTTGATGTGCAAACAGTAAGGTAATTGATGTGTACACTGTGTAGTTTTGAATATGTTGCGGAAATGAATTATTACCACTCAACGGTTTCCACCATGGGTAATACCTACTTAGAAAATGTCAACTTTGCTGTTCATAAGCGTATTGATTTGATTTGATGGATTCTTAAATTCTTTCCTTAGCTCTTTTTTTCCCCCCCTAACCGCAGCCTACAAGCTAGCTTAGTTGTAAGTTTGTGACAATGATAATTTGATCTTCACATCCCAGATCTAACTAATTTTAGATCTGGTCTAGGAGCTTTAAACTTGTCATTGATGTTTCATTATCTACCGTTACTGAAAGTTATAAATAATGCACCCTGAGACATATTATGTCTTTCAAACACTAAACAATATTTTTGAATATGGAGGCGCCTGTATCTAATAGAATGGAAAAATGATCGTGCACGTACTTAAAAATGTTAATAGCAAAAGGTGTTACATGCAATGTATAATTTCGAAGATTTTTTCCTAAAAGTGTAAATAAATCGTGACACATACGTGATTTATCTACTGGACACAAGTCCTGGTAACAATAATGTTGGTATGGCCTAAACATGAGTTCTAGAAAATGGAATTCGGAGTTTGATCGATTTCGATTGGGACAAACATAAGCTAATTGTCCCAAAAGAATTCAAGGGCGGCTGCCAGACACGGCGGCCGGATAACGATGGAACGAGCGGAAAGGCATTTTACTAAAACAAAATTCGTTACGGTACCTACGTGTTTACAATAAAGTAGTAGTACTAGTACTACTCTTCTATTCTTTTTTTCAATAAAAATCAGTATTGACTAAAGATGCTGTCAATTTTGCAAAGATACGAAGTTGACTGGTTTGCGGCGGCTCAAGGGGGAAAAAAAAAAACCCAGCTCGGAGGAACCAATAGCCAAATTTTATTGGAACAAAGTTTAATTTTCTATTAGATAGCCCCGTGATGATGGGTGTAGGTGAATCAGGGATTGAGATAATAATATAAGAATTTTTAAGGATCTGTTGTCATGTTTCTCAAAATCAGTCATCTCAATTTTTATATGTAATCCAAACCTCCCATTCCACGTTTTTCAAATGGTAGAAAAATCGCTCCCATTGCAATTAGAAAGCACCAAATGTTAAGTATGATCAGCTTAATTACATAAAAATCACAATATTTACCATCTCATCATTCTGTCTTGTAACTAGTACTGCTGGATCAAAGGAAATCGCACAACTCGACCACAAAAAAATGGAACAAAGGAAGAAAAGAAAGAAAGGCAAAAAAAGAGGCATCAAGAAAAAGGGAAAAAATGAAAAAAAAAAAAAAGAAAAAGAAAAAGAAAAAATGTGGTTGTGTAAGTGGAGGTGATCAGAGGAGAAGGGAGAGGGATATCAAATCAATATCATGGTTTCAGCCTTTCAGGGTTCAGGCTTGGAATCGGGGATTGGATTTGGAGGAATTTGGATTTTGGATAAAAACAGAAAAACAAAAAAAAAAGAAAAAAAAAAAGGGGAGGAGAAGGAAAGAAAGAAGTAAAAGATTGGTAGCTGCGAGTCCCAATAATTGCGTACTGTGACTGCCTACTGCTGGCCTGGGTGATACTGCGAAAAGATGTCACATTTTTTTTTCTTTTTTAACATCGAGCCCTGTGTTTGTTTCCGGGTTGACTCTCCCAAAATCTCCCCACTACTTTATTTCTCCCTGTCATTCCATTCCTGCTCTCCCCCCCCCCATCTCTTGCCTTGTTATTAACGTTAATTCCTCCCCCAGCTACTATTACCACGTTTTCACGCAACACCATTTTGGAGGAATTTTTCGCATTCTTTCCCCTAAATTTTGGTCCATTACATGAATTTTTTTTATAAAAAAAATAAATAAAATGAAATCTTTGTTAGATGTGTACATAAGTGGGTTTGTCTCAGTTACAATGGCAATGGATTTACGTACTTGATGAGGAGGGGGAGTCTACGGCCACTCTATATATGGAGAGATAGATAGATGATGAAAATGTTTATGAATTGGGGGGAAATTGCAGGTGTTGAACCCTGATTTTGGTGGGATATGTGATCCGCGATACGCCAAATGGGAAAGAGAAGTTGGAATTAAGTATTTGGACAGAAGCGGGTTATGGAATTACGGGCCGTCAGTTTCTTCTTCCCTCTCTTGAGAAAATTTTGTCAACTCACGCATGCCTTTACAGAGTTACGACTCTCCCCTCCCTCTGTGTATTCTTCTGTATCCCCCCATCCTTCCCAATCAACGTCACCCCTTCAATATCCCCAATATTCGTTTTTTGTTTTCTTCCCACATTTTCTTTCAAACAAAACAAACCCATCTGACGTTTTCCGTGACAAATAAGCTGATATCTTTCATTAGTCAATTTTATTATATTTTAAGGCCCCCTAAAAAAATTAAATTTATAAACTAATTATGTTTGGATCCTTTTTTTATGTGCAGTTTTCTATTAGAAATATAACAAGTGTATTAAAAACGTAAGAAAAAAATATATATGCTGGAATAATAGAAATATTAGCTTCCAAACGGAGAAATCATATAACAGAAATGAATCGACATAATAAACCCCTCTTAAAATGCGAGTAAGAATTTTTTGGAGATAAGATTCTCAGTCTTTTTCCCGGCACCCTTTCATGTGGCGAAAATAATCAAAATTACTTGTAGTACTATTCAAATTACTGCAACATTACAAAATTGATAAGAAGGGGGTTTGTTGCCGGTGAAAGTGATGGCACCGCCCAAAGATGTACAGCTGATGCGACCCCCCCTTCTAAATTTTCTTGTTTTATTAACACCAAACTCATCAAATCCCTGATTAGTACTACTACTACTACTAGGATTAGTATATTATTATTATCATCATATTGGATTGGATTGCTATTGGTTAATCATTCGCACGTAAGACTAATTTTACTTCTGGGGCGGTGCTTCAATTATAGTTAACATCCCCAACGTTACTACTACTACTACTACTACTTTATTTACTTGTCAATTCCTTTTGTAGGATCCACTGATCCACTCACTAACTCCATCACTCATTTTCCACTTATTACTCTTACTCCCTCGTACTGTTACTTTCATGCTATCTCCTTCCTTCGTCTCTTTATGCCAACTTTCTAAAACCTTCCCGCCACACAAAACTCATTTTTTCGTGTTTAAATTTACAACTACGAAGACAGTAAATTTATTCAGTAAAACAACTAAATCGGTCATCACTTTAGTATATACTAATTCTAATTCAAGCGGAATTGATGTTTTCACGACGATTAACAAATGTACAAGGCATTAGTTGCTGTGTCAATGTCAAACTGTGTGTCATTTGGTGCAATGGAACAAACTATTTTTGGCTCTTGATTATATTCATCTTAAACTAGGCCAAGCTTACTCGTGGCCTTTGGCGGCCCAAGAGCAACATAATTGAGTTACTATTGCTAATGAATATGGGTGCATAAATACCTAAAGAAATGATTAAATCAGCAAAAGAAAAGCAGGAAAGAATCCCAATCCATCTTCAAAATTTCTTTGTCCTATATATATTCGTCTAAAAGTCTTGCTTGATTTTGATTGCCGGAGAGATATGACTCCGACAGGTTCCATAGGATGTGGCTTTAATTATTGATAGTGATGTATTTTTATTATTTTTTTCTTCTCTCCCACCCTTTTCTTTTCATGATTTTATAAAGTGCTTTTAAGTTTCTGAGATTGAGTCTCAGTGCATGGAACATATACATATATATCTATGCCACCACTTGACTTGGAAGTAAAACATTTGAACCCCAATTATACAAACTTTAAAGTCACTTCTTACTAGTTACTATTAGTACAATGTTAAAAGAGTTTTGATGTGTGATTTTACCGAATCTTACCTTATTTGGTCGGTGTGACTCACCTTTTTTTTTAGCACGCATAATGATTTTCTTTAGCTAGTGCGCAGAATTATGAAAAATGAATTTTAAGTACCTGGAAAAACAATATTCTGTAGTCAAAACTCAAAATCGAAAATATATCTCAAATTGTATCGTGGGCTTAATTTGTGTTCATTTTTATTGGGCCCATTATTTAAAACCAGTAAACTTCTTAACGGGATCAGGTTTTTAAGGTGCTTAATCTCGGCCCAAACTAGGCCTAGACAGGATAAACTCTTGTCTAAGATCCCGCTGCTAATGGAATTATATAGGGATTAGGGCTTCGGCATTTTTTCCTCGTCAAAAATTCTTTTGATAAGGCCTGAAGTTTCCCATCTTAGATACATTACCTTTTGGTTTTCTGCTTTCATTCCATTTCATGTATCTTTTTTTCGGTTAATATATAGTACCAGTCTCCAGAAACAGACATTTCAAGACGGAAGATACAGACATTTTTAGTGTTTTAGTACCATACCAAAATTATTCAGCATTTTAGGCTTGTATGACTTTAGGGTTTTAGCCTCTTTCTATTGTAACCCAAAAAAAAAAAATTAATAATAATAATAATAAAATTATTCAACATTTTAGATTTGTTTTATACTGCTGCTACCATTAAAACATAAGGTAATGTGACGATTTTTAGGCGAATTTTCATTCGCTACAAGGGGAAAAAAAAATGTAGTAACAATATTCCTTTCCCTACTCTCATGGATCTTGATAAATTCCAACACTCTTTCTAGTTATTCGGGCATCCTCTTTTGACCCCCCAAACCATACTCCTACTTAGTACAATCTCTAAAACCTAGTGATACTTTTTTTTTTCCCTCTCTTTGGTTTTCAGTAGACCATAATCACCATCATGGCAATCGGCAAAGTCCGACCCAACAAACGATCATCGTCAGGCAGTTCTTCATACTCATCTACTGTGACAACGTTAATCGTTGGAGGACTGTGTGTATATGGAATATACATGTTGTCTTCAAACGATTTCTTTTCCCCTGTTACCACTATTCGAACCGATGCTGAAACTTCCATCCAATCAAACGGTGATGATTCGTCCGTCTTTGATCAACCGAGTCATCCCGTGAAACCCATTGCCAAGAAAAGCAAGCCCGTTTTCGGAGACAGCCAGGGAGATCTTCCTGATGATGCCATCAAGAACGATCATCATGAAACAGGGCATGATGATCATAAGGATGAGGCCAATGTCGATAAACCGGAACCCGAATCCGAAAATAAGGATGATGATCCATCGCGTAATAATAGTGAAGCAGAAGATCAAAATGAGAAAGATGATTCAGTGCAAGAACTGAAAGGCCGTGAATCTGAAGAGGAGCAAAAGAAGCAGAAGAAGCCTGATGCTCAAACTTCTGTGGACCAAGTAGTCCAGAAGAAGGAGAAGAGTGAGGAAGAAATCACCAGCAAGCATGAAGAGAAAAGCTCCAACGATGAACATCATGAAAATCAGGGGATTTCTGCGAATAATAAAGAGCACGAGATATCAGATGAAGATCAACAGAAACGGTTGGAACAACATCAACAACAAGAAGATGATCAAATTCAGCAAGGGAAAACACAAGATCACGAGACTGAAGGATTAACAAGCTATGATCAAACAGAACATGATCGTCAGAAACCTAAGGATCAACCATCTGGGATCTCAACCAAAAAAGCATCCCAAACTTCCAATGGAGGGAGCTCAGCCAATCACCAGGAGTCTAATGAATCAAAGAAGTCCTGGTCAACACAAGCAGATGATTCTGAGAACCAGAAAGAGAGACGAAAAGATGGAACGAATGATCAATCTGGAAATAATCAGAAATGGGAGCTGTGTAACACCACAGCTGGCCCTGACTACATTCCCTGCCTGGATAATGAGAAAGCAATAGCCAAATTAACAAGTCGGAGACACTATGAGCATCGCGAGAGACATTGCCCCGAGGAAGCGCCTACTTGTCTTGTTCCCCTGCCTAAGGGTTACAAAAAGTCTGTAGAATGGCCTCAAAGCAGAGATAAGGTACAATGAATTACACTCAGTTCAATGCCTTTCACAATAAAGTTTTTATTTTTTAGTTTTTATATAATATATACAACTCAAATAAGATATATTTACCTTTGAAATGCAGATATGGTACCACAATGTACCTCATACCAAGTTGGCAGAAGTAAAGGGGCATCAGAATTGGGTGAAGGTAACAGGGGAATTCTTGACTTTCCCTGGTGGTGGCACTCAGTTTATCCATGGAGCATTGCATTACATTGATTTCCTGCAAGAGGTGAGACTGTGGATAATTTCCTTCTGAATTCTATATTAAACTAGCTGGTATGAATCAGGAATGAACTAAAGATAGGTTTGCAAGCTTAATTTTACCATAATGTTGTCTTTAGGCAGTTCCAGATATAGCATGGGGAAAACATACTAGGGTAATATTGGATGTTGGATGTGGAGTTGCTAGCTTTGGGGGTTTTCTCTTTGAAAGAGACGTTCTGGCAATGTCCTTTGCACCGAAAGATGAGCATGAGGCTCAAGTTCAGTTCGCCCTCGAAAGGGGAATACCAGCAATATCAGCTGTGATGGGTACACAAAGGCTGCCATTTCCAAGCAGCGTGTTTGATGTTGTGCATTGCGCCCGCTGTAGAGTCCCCTGGCATGCAGAAGGTTCTTCTTCTCCAATATCCCTGAATTTTTGCTAGGACCTCAACTTATTCAACTCGTAATTATCAAGGAGCATTTTGCTTACTCGTTCGCTTGAATGAACCTGAATTCTGATGCAGGTGGCCTCCTTCTTCTGGAATTGAACCGAGTTCTTCGACCAGGAGGGTACTTCATTTGGTCAGCCACTCCTGTGTATCAAACACTTGAGGAGGATGTTCAGATATGGAAAGGTATATCTGCTGCTGACATGTTATAGTGCTCCTGAAACCGACAAGCCGGGCTGATTTTCACTAACTTTGAGGATTTTTTCTTCTTTCCTTCCAGAAATGTCCAATCTTACAGTTGCAATGTGTTGGGAACTTGTGACAATCAAGAAGGATAAACTAAATTCCGTTGGTGCCGCAATCTACCATAAGCCAGATTCAAATGATTGTTACGAGAAAAGGAAAAGCAACCGCCCGCCAATGTGCAAAAGTGATGATGATCCTAGTGCTGCTTGGTAAGCCTGAAATCTCAAAAATTAGCCTCTTTTCCATTTTCCTTTCAACACGTGTTTTCATACAGGCATCATTGCTGAGAATTGCAGAACTATCATTGTTGTAAATAACCCATTATTTAACTCCGTGTGAAAACATTCTTCACTTGTTTTCTGGGAGCAGTAGTTATATAGATTGTGTCGTAACCTCCCATAAAATTCCAGGCATGTACCGTTGCAAGCGTGTATGCACCGGGTTCCCACTCAATCAAACGAGAGAGGCACAGAGTGGCCAGAGGAGTGGCCTCAGCGAGTTCAGTCAACTCCATACTGGTTGAATAAATCTCAAATGGGGATTTACGAAAAGCCAGCCCCTGAGGACTTTGCAGCAGACTATGAACACTGGAAAGAGGTCATCAACAAGTTGTATATGAATGGATTGGGCATCAACTGGTCAGGCGTGAGAAATGTCATGGACATGCGAGCAGTATATGGAGGGTAAGTACCGAACTCGATTATTCATGATGCACCTAGCTAACCCCTGCGGACAAATTAAACTCAGTTTAAAAATGGCACATTGCAGGTTTGCTGCAGCACTGAAGGACCTCAAAGTGTGGGTGATGAATGTGGTGAACATAGATTCTCCAGATACACTTCCAATCATCTATGAACGAGGTCTCTTTGGTATATATCATGACTGGTGTGAATCCTTCAGCACATATCCACGGACATATGATCTACTACATGCTGATAATCTTTTCTCAAGGCTAAAGAAGAGGTAAAAGCGATTTGAGATATTTTCATCTCCATATTTGCTGGTCTTGGTGACTCATGCTTGTTAGCCTTAATTTGCAGGTGCAAACTTATCCCGGTGATAGCAGAGGTTGACAGAATAGTGCGGCCTGGAGGTAAATTCATTATGCGGGATGATTCCAACACGGTTGGGGAAGTTGAGAATTTGTTGAAGTCTTTGCATTGGGAGGTCCAGTTCACCTCCTCCAAGGACAAAAAAGGTGTCCTGAGTGCCCAGAAATCGGAATGGCGGCCAGACTCATGATCAGAAGCTCTCTGAAACTCCACGGCACCCAGCAGTATTAGGATTAAAGAGTTTTTTTAGTTCTGCAGCTTCTATTGTTTTTACTTTTCCGGATTATTTGACAGGAACAAATTTTTTCTGCATTGAAAGGTAACATAGAGATAATATACCAACCAAACCAAGCAACTTGAAATGTCAACTGACACCATTAACTAGTGTAAAGTTCACTTTGGTTTAGGGTTAACCTTTCAACGCGTCTGCCTTTTCAAATACTGTGGAACAAGGATTTCAGGGAAGACTCTCAAGGGTCTCAAGCAGAAGTGACAAAGGCTTTCTAATGCAAAAGTTGCAGTTTCTTTCTTTTTTATCCATGTTCCTAGCAGTTCACAAATTACATTCATCTTGAGGAACATCTAGTCAATTATGTGTGCATTCAGAAACACACGCCTGCAGCAAGCAAATAGAGAGGGAGATACACCAAGACTAATGCCATCTAAAATTCATACAGCAGAATGTGTTGTTCTCCATTCTGATCTCATTCACAAGAAATTTGGCACTACAGAAGACTACAAGAGTATAGGTGAGCAATGAGCATATATAGTAGAGAATTCTGTACTGACGGGAGTGATTTAAGAAAACAATAGGCATATGAAACTGAACTGCTTAATTAACTCAATATACACTTCCGATATTCAAATGTGTAGTTCTCACTCAAAACCACCAGGAAATCAACATTACAGGCTGAAAACCATCGACAAATGGTGAGTCTAAAAGCCTGACATCCCTATATCAATTCCTATCATTTTTTACCTATAATTTTAGCTAAAGAGCTTCAGTTTACAAATTCAACAGTAAACGTCAATCTTGGCTGAGAAGCTTCTGTAATTGACCTTTTTCAACAGCATCTTCAAGATCTGAATAACAAGATAGCAACTTATAAGAAAGTTTGTCAAACAGATGTGGGGGATTTTACATAACACGTGAAAACTAGAGACTTACCGTCACAACCGCCAACATGCTTCCCGTTTATAAACACTTGAGGAACCGTACGGCGCCCCACCAAGTCCAGAAGAATATTTTGAATTTCATATCCATCAGCTGCAAACATTCACAATAACCAAATCACTCCAAAAGCTGAATACAAAGTAAGAAAAAAAAACTTGAACAACATAACTATTCTCATGCTTTGAGGAATCAAGAATATTCAGTATACCTCGTTGATCAAGCTCGACAACAAAAGGTTGCTCATGACGCTCACGGAATATGCGCTTAGCACAAAGGGAATATCTGGTTTGTGCAAACAAACAAAGGACACATATGTAAACTAGAATTAGAAGAGAAGAAACCAAACTTGTTTTTACTCCCATGAGCTAACTACTCAACACAAGTAATAAAACTAGGAATTCCCAAAATTTTAACCATCCAAGGAGAATCAAAAAATATCAATGATAGAGAAAATTAAAATTACAAAACATCACCAATCACAAAGGTGGTTGACCTGATGCAGCAAAGAAGAGGTCATTCTTGTTTGCCACACAGATGTTTCCAGTTTCCACCACTCAACCATAAAAAGCAAGGTTTCTCATTTCTTAATGTAAAATTGAAAAAACTTTCTATCAAGGTAGGGAATTGGATCAAAAGGGCCAATTTGGTTTTGGGAAAGTTCTCAACTTTAAAAAGTAAGCATGTTAGTTTTTGCCCCAATCATGGATATATGCACCCAAATTTTGTTTTCATTGGCTTAGAAAACATTGAAATAAACGAGAAACTAAAGAAAAATACCGTTATTTAAAAAAAAACAAAAACAAAAAAAAAAACCATCGAAAGAGGAGAAGGGAAGAATTGGCTTACGGGCAGTAGGATTTGGAGAAAATGGTGATCTTGTTAGAGTAGATGGCACTCTGAACGAAAGCGGAGGGGGAATTGGAAGCAAGGGTCTTGTTCTGCGCAATGAAAAATGAGAACCATATAGCTATAACCACTCCGATTCTGAGAAAAGAGACGGGAATTGAGCTCTTCGCTTTCGTCAACATCGTTGCTGTCGCCCCCCAAATCACCACCACTTCACCGGTCTCCTTCTTTCCAGTTCTTTATGCATTTCTAAGTTTGGCGATCAATTTATACCCCTCTTACTTTCCAGTCTTCACAGAGCATTTTCGGCCCAAAATTTATGAGCCCACTTAAACATTGGATCTAGTCTTTTAATATGGGCTTCTAAAGTTTTATGAACCCCCTAGGGTTAGGATTCTTAGTTTTTTTTTTTTTTTCTTTTTTGAAGAAAAAGATGACATTTCATTAAGTAATTACTGAAAAGAGTCCAGCACAATTTGGTGTTAATGTTTGATAATGCAAATTTATGTATTGCATTTGGATCGTTTTGTAGTGTGCGTTTTTGAGTAGATAATGTAAAAAATATATACTCTCTGTATCTCAAAATTATTATCCAGTTTGAGTTTTCAATTTTAATTCAATTTGTACTAAAAGTGAAAATTAAAACTGAACTGGAAAGACTATTAAAAATATCACATGGGATATTGAAAAAGAGAAGAAATTAAAAGAAATTGTGAAGAAAAAAAGGGAACCAAACACAGACAAATTTTGAACATGTAACGTATATAATGTTAATGAATGAATAGTGATGATAACCGAAGTGATGTTTACGTGAACATTTTGATTTCGCCTTGTCAAAAAAGCAGCTATATGTGAAAAATGACATACAGAACTATAGTTGTGGAATAAATCACAGTAAGTAAAATGGTTACAACTTACAACAAACTAATCCACAATTCAAAGTTTCAAACCAATTGTCTGATCAATTTTTTCTGAGGCTATCCATCTACTTTTTGTATAGCTTATTATATTCCTCCAGCTCATCGTAATAGACGTCCCACACGCATCGCACGCACCCGCTGCCGCAACAATCATCCGGCAACGGCTTCTCCGGCGGCGGAGGAATATTCTTCGGAGTTGACTTTTCTGACTCCTTATCCCCTTCTTCTTTTTTATCAATCAAGACCGAAGATGATTGGCCGCCACCATTAACCACCGGATGAGGTTTTTCATCCTTCTTCTCAGCGTCGCCGGCCATGCTAATCTCGACGGCGCAAGAAACGTTGCCGGTGCTGCTGAAGGCGGCTCGGAAGGTTCTCGATTGATCGGATCTGAAAGGATTGACGGAAGGCGCGAATCGGGTGATGGGTTTCGGGATCGGGTATCTCATGAGCTGTGGAACATTATCGACACCGGGCAGAGAAACACGGGAACAACGATATCGGGGAGGATGATAATGGAGGGGAAAGGGCGTTGCCCATACGCTTGGGTGGTCCATTCAATAAATAATAATAAAATAAAAATTATAACCAGCAGTTAATCGTGATTGGACTATTGAGGCGAAATACCAGTCCCGTTGACCTATATATGTGCATTATACGTCTCAGGCTCTCAGCCGTTAGATGCCAAGATCTGACGTAGGCACATACCATGTAAGAATTTATATTGAGCCGAAATATACTATATTGTTTTAATTCAATAAAAATAATAAAAAAATAGTGATGTGTTACCCAAGTAGGCAAGTAGTAATTCTATGGCAGAAGAAAAAATATTATGTTTATTTTATTAAATTAAACTTTTAGTTGGACAGAGACATTACTTTCATATCACAAACATGATCAGTCTATGAATGCACCATCATTTTTATTACTCTGAAAATATATCTTTACACAAGTCGCCTGTATGTTGGAACCATTAAATACACGTTTTTTGTTCCCTCTTGAAGTACACATTTGATTGCAAAGATGTTCAAGAAATTTTAAGTGAATAATAAGCTTAGGGTGGTAAGAACTGCTTTGTTATTGAAGGATCTCAGGGCCATCCATTTGTAAAGTCATGGCCAAACTTGTTTCTTAGCAACCTGAAAAAATGGATCAAAGCCTGCTACATTCTGCTTACAGATTCCTTCTTTTATGAATCATCTGTTGTAAATTGTAATTGCAGAATTTCTACTTCCTCCTGTGTTGCGAAAGTTAATACGGATTTCCAGCAGGCATCATGTTTTTAGCTTGATCGCCGCCCAAGTCTGAAGAGACTCCTCAATCCTGACAACAACATCAACAAACCGAAGTAATCAAAGTCATAAGCCATCCTGATAAAATCTAGCTTGAAACTGTTCCATGGAGGATGTCTTGGCTCCAATTCCAGAAGGAAGCTCCTTTGCAAGACTGCTTTTTCATGGCTGAAGGTGTCAAAAGAATATTTCCCATGATATCTTCCCATACCACTTGGACCGACGCCTCCAAATGGTAACGTGTCGCACAGAAACTGCACAGTTGAACTTTATTCAGTCCCCATTGCATTTTGCATAAACTGAACGGTTTTTCTCAAAATTGAAACCTGGAAAAATACATACCTGGATCATAGTGTCATTGAACGTTATACTTCCAGATGATGTTTCTGCTGAAAGCCTTTTCTTGAAAGCTTCATTTTTAGTAAATGCATAAAGAGCCAGAGGTTTTGGCCTCAAGTTTATAAACTCAATGCTTTCCTCTATGTTGTCTAACTGCAGGAAGGAAGGAAGAAATTCAAACTCAAAATTTCGGCAGACAGAAGATTCATTCATTTTTTCTTTATGATTTTTTCTAATCTATGGATAAAATAAATACGAGATAAGTCTATATTAGATTCTTATACAAGGAACTTCAGCAGAAGAATTGCTGATCTTACAGTGATGATAGGCAACAGAGGACCGAATATTTCTTCAGACATTATGTCAGAATCAAGTGGAGGATCCAACAGTATAGTTGGTTGTATCATTCTGTAAAACAAATGCAATATGGTCAATAAGGGCAACCATTTGTAGCATGCACATAAGATCAGTTTGAACAAGAATGAAGACTACTGTAGAACTTACAAGTTTTGTTCATTGCAGGTACCACCATAAACAACAGTAGCCGAGACACTCGGGTCCTCCAGAAGACTAAGCACTCGATTAAAGTGGTGCTTGTTGACAATCCTACACATATTCTTTAAATTATCTACACTATCCCCATAAAATTTCTCGATGCATTTCTTCAACAGCTCAACCTGTCAAATTAGACAACAAATTACTGCTATTCTCCCGCCCAGTAGATCCCTCAAGAACCAAAGTCTTGTTGAGAGGATAATGAATCTGTACCAATCTCGGAGCAAAGCGTTTTTCCACAAGGATGTAGTCAACTCCTATGCATGCTTGTCCACTACAAGGTCCCCATTTGCCACTAGCAATTCTCTTGATGGCCACCTGAAAACCATACATTAAAGAGTAACCAACGTGGCCGGTACCAATTGATTTGTTTGCTGAGCTCTAATTAACAAAAGAAGCATAGGCATGTATCAACTATAGATAGTGAAAGAACCTCTAAATCTGAGTCAGGGAGAGAGTCAAAGATGGTTGGACATTTTCCTCCAAGTTCAAGGGTTACAGGGGTTAAATACTTTGCCGCTGCAGACATGATTATGCTTCCTACTCGAGAACTTCCTGAAACAGTATACATACTACAGCTTTAATCATTCTCGTTGGTGAAATTTGACAGGAAATTTGGGAACAACGTGTTGCAGTGATTTCAGTTCAAAGTAATTGACTTTACGGTATTTATTCTAAATGGATTAAAGGAGGAAGGTTTCAAGGACAACATACCAGTAAAGAATATCTTGTCCCACCTCTGCTGTAATAATTGCTGAGCTGTATCTGTTCCACCTTCTATGACTTTGATTGCTTCGGGGTCCAAGTAACGAGGGACTGTTTGAGCTAGGAATGCAGAGCATTCCGGTGATAGCTCTGAAGGTTTTAATACCACAGTGTTCCCGGCTGATATGGCTCCAATGACAGGGTCCAAAGCAAGTGCTGCACAAAGTAACAAGTTGGCCTAATAAACATGTATAATAACCAGTTTGATTATTTGAGGTACAATAAATTAGGCACAGCATCTGGGACTTCGCAGGATGGTGATTACCAGAAGCTCAGAAGCGTTCTGAATAGAGAGCTAACTAGTATATTAAAACAATGACTGCATTTATCTTCAGAGTTCTGAACCAGATGTTAATGAACTTACAGAAAGGGAAGTTCCAGGATGATATTATCAGTACAAGTCCAAGTGGCTCTGGTAGCACTTCTGCCTTTGATGGGACCATGAGTAACGGTAAGGGACTCTGTTCAAGATCATTAATGTTATCAGGTCCAAAACACCTATGGTCAACAAATCTAGAACTATAAGCACAAACAAAGACCATTGGTTTTTTTGAAAGCAGAACTAAGACCATTGTTAGGAATACTAAAAGTGCAAATTCACAGATGCCCATGTAAGCTCTGTACTTTGGAATCTCAAACAAACAGCTTACCTTCTTGGGTGCCATCCATTTTTCCAGATTCTCTAAAGCATACTTTGCAGATTTCTTCACAATACCAATCTGTTAAAACCACAAAACGGACAGAATTAACCAAAAGAAATAATCTTGAGACGAATTTAGCAAAGCACTATATCACTTGAAAAAATTCTAACAATTTTTCTGCCTTAAAAAAAAAAAAAAAAAAACTTGAACCCACCTCTCATCTCAACACTCAAATTAACAGAACCGTGATCATCAGAATAAAAAAGGCATGACAGGAATCTTTGCGATTAGTTAAAATGAAAAATCAAGCAGTATGGAGCATAGTTGCCCAGAATTAAGAAGTGTCAATAGAAGCGGATAAAGACTTACTTCGTCACGATAAGATTCAACAGGATGCTTTCCCAGATCTTGCTGAAGGACGGAATAGATCTTATCCTCATTGTCAGAAATGAGTTTGAGGATACCTCGGAGCTGGGCCTTCCTCCAATTAATTTCCTTAGTCCTCCCACTTCTGAAAGTCTGCCTCAACTCTGCTATGTCCCGGTTCATTCCAGGCACTTCCTCACCCATTTGCTTTTGGTTTTTCTTTTTTCGTACTTTTGATGACGACGAGGACTCTCTATTATCAACAAGTATCAACAAACTAAAATCCTCTCTATCCAAAACTGACTTTATGTGTTAAAAAAACTCTGTTTACTTTTCTTTCAACACAAGTGCTTATCTAGTTATCTATATGTATACGCAAGTTTACAAGTACTTGAAAACCAATTAAAATGATGGTTACAGTAACAGTAACAGTAACACCATTTTAATTCATAAATCAATTCAGGAATTTAATCGCTTATTTATTTATTTATTTATTTATTTTTTCCATCGTACAAAGTTAAGACCATATTCGCATGTGCCCGGAATTTTACCATTTTCTGCGTCAATGTTGGTTATTACTCAGTATTACAAATGGTTCGTATCAGTTAATACAAAAATTATTCAGAGCATCTACTGTACCACGTAAGATTGTGATACAATAATAAGATAAAGTAATAATTTTTGGAAGAGAGAAGTAATTTTTACGGAAATTATAACACTAAAATAAGAAGGTACTAATACTTGATGCACTAAAAATATTTGTACCCAATAACTTTTCTAATTAATTACCTTTCTTCACATTCCAACTCCGGTGACAGTTTTTAGTGGGATGCGGTCAGAGCCCGATGCTGCACGCCACAGATTCTGGTTTCCGGACCCGCCAACCTGGCTGGAAAATTGGAATGAGTCTTCATTTCATATTACTTGTCCAAACGTAATTTGGTCACCGGTGACGGCAATGATTAATTTACAAAAAGGAAATGGAGATGTAACGGGTAAAATACTTGAATGCGGTCCGTAGTCATGAATATGTTTTTTGTTTAATCTTTCTTCGTACTTATTTATTCGCCGCTGAATAATTTTTTAACGGTTTTTGTAGCTTTCAAATGACTGGAAGAGTGGTTAGATTACGAAGATTGATATCTAGGAAAGTTATTTTTTTAGCAGAGGGGTTAAGAGTTAAAAGTCAAATAACAACAATTGGGTTAAAGTATTAGTACTGGTTTTGATTTTCATTAATGATGATTCCAAAGACCTAGGGCGGAACATCTTAATCAATGGGCTCCATTGCTCAGCTCTCTGAAAGAGAATGTGCACCCAACGGATCCAGAATTCCAGATTATCAACCACGTGCAACAAAAGCATTTTTAATAACACATGTTTCTTTTTTTTCTTTTTTTTTTTTGCGGTACCTGAACAACTTAATAATGATCACAACAAAATTCATAATTTACCCCTTCTCTCTCGTCATTATTATATCACATTTTGATTTGTTTTAAAACTCTGTTTAACATGTTTTTTCAATATAAATAAAAATTTTAAAATATTTTATAATAATAATTGAAAAACACAATAAATGTAAAAATACATTTTTAAGGTTTTATTTAGAAAAACATACTACTAAATAAAAGTCAGGCAGATTAAAACATTTCAAAATAAGGATTGGAGGGAGTACTAAAAACTTTTACCTAGAATTTCTCTTTATGTATCATGATTTTCAAGTGTATAAAATTTGATTTTCAGGCTTCTCCTTTGTTTATAAATTCGAACGTTTATATAAAATTTTATTACTCTATATAAAATTTTATTACTCTATTTCACTTATTCAAAATGAAATAAAACAGCATTTAAATCAATTTTTTTTTGGTTAAAAACAAATAGCATTAGTAAATCACACTCACACACAAAAGCAAATTTTATTTTATTTTTTTTAAAAAAAGTAGCAGTAATGAACTGGTTGTGAAAACGGATTGAAGTACATTCGAACTACGTAATGGACTGAAGTTCATGGACATCGAAGACAACATTATGGATGTCGGGATCAAATAACATCAGTACAACACTGCCAGGGCTTAGATACAGAACCACGTTAACACCCACGAATTATCTTACATCCATCAGCCATAAAAACCGGCCCAACAGAGATCAAGATCTGTTTTTACTTTTTACCTGCCACTTCCTGTTTCACCATTTCCTTACCACAATGGATGAATGGATTGGAATGAGAGACTTTTGTTGTATTAATTTAAGATGGTTATTTTAATTTTTCCAATTTGATGAATACCAGACAACAGAAATACATCAAATTAGGAATATAGAAAAAAAAAGTCATCATTTTGAAAAAGAATGAGTATCAAATAGCTAGTATCATAAACATTGCTCACATTAGGGTTTAAAATCATCAAACAACTAAATTATATGATGACGAACACAGTTAACTGTTACATATACTTCCTCTATTTTAAAATGTAAGCACTTTAGACTTTGCATGTAAACTAAAGAGACAATCATCCAACAATTAATTTGTGTGTTAAATATCTTTTTTACCCCTCATTAATTACATTAAAATTATAAACAAGACTAAATGAAAATAGATTAGCATCATTTATTGGGGCTAAAATTGGAAAAATAGTTATTAATTTACTTAGAATTTGTAAAACGACTACATTTTGAAAAATCTCTCCAAACCTAAAATACCTGCAAATTATAATAGAGGGAAGTAGGAAGGAGGAACGCGCATTTAACTAAGTGTAAATGCTAAAAAAAACTCCCCAATCAAAAAAAAAAAACTACAGAAAATTCTGGTAAAAAGGACATGATCGAACACTATTGACACTTGACGGGACGGAACCTATTTCGTCCGTCGCCATCATGATTTGCTAAAACTCCTTCACAAACCAGCATAAAATAAACGCAAGCAAATATGCGAAGATGATGATGATTACATCACCGCAGGCTAGAAAAGTGCAGCTTAATCTCAAAAGACTTTGGAAGAGATTACAGGAGGGATTTGGTCATTATTTTGGATCTGAACTGAGTAGTCATTATCAGAAGGGGGGACCCAACATCACATGCATTTCGGACAAAGTAATAAATTAAAGAGAGCCACATAATAGTAGCCTTTCACCAAAATGGAAAACCCTTACAACTGCACGACTATTCTCACTTTTGATTTCACTTTCCTCGTATGGAAATCCCCCTCTGTTCCCACCACCTAGTTGTTGTCCTCCGTAGATAGATCTCTGTTCTGATGCTTTAAAAGTTGCACACAGTACTTTTGTGTCATCAGTAGTACTAGTTTTGTTTTGTGTTGAAGGAGAGGGGAAAAATGGGTCGGGGAAAGATTGAGATAAAGAAGATAGAGAATTCAACCAACAGGCAAGTCACTTATTCAAAGCGGAGGAATGGGATTTTCAAGAAAGCCCATGAACTCAGCGTTCTCTGTGATGCTAAGGTCTCACTCATCATGCTTTCTGGTACTAAGAAGTTCCATGAATACACCAGCCCTTCCACTACGTATGTTTCTTATTTTTTCCTCCTACACTGTGTTTTGCATCTAATATTGATAACTGATTAATTTAGGATTTTAGGGTTATTTGTGATACCCCCAATGATTATAATTTTAGGCTTTTTCTTTCTTCCCTTTTATTTTAGGACAAAGAAGGTTATTGACGAATATCAAAGCATTACTGGAATTGATCTGTGGAATACCCACTACCAGGTTATTTTATTTCCCAGAATTTCCATTGCTTTAGTACTCTTCCATTATGATTAATTTCTGAGGGGTTGATTAATTAATTTGCAGAAAATGCAAGCACATTTAAGAAGACTGAAGGATGTCAACAATAAACTGAGGACAGAGATCAGGTTATCGTCATTCTTCTTTTTCTTTTTCTTTTTCTCCTCCCTTCTTTGTTTTTAATTGGGGCAATTTACTTAGGTCAATGGTAGTGATCAACTGGTGCTGAGATTAATTTAAGGTTAAAATATTAACTCATCATTAATTCTTTAACTACTTTTATACGTATTGAAAATTGCAGGCAAAGAATGGGGGAAGATCTGAAGGATCTGAGCTGGGAACAGATGTATAATCTTAAGGAGAACATGCACGAAGCCATTGCTCTAATTCGTGAAAGAAAGGTGTCTGTTCTTAATTATTGTTCATTTCTAAGGATTTTCCTACCAAATATCCAAAATTGAAACTTGGATTTCTTCAAATATTTTTTGTGTGATTATGGGAATCAAAATGGTGGTGGTACGTTTTGAGTTTAATTCTGAGTTTGCCATGTTTGCAGTACCATGTCATCAAAAATTCAACTAACACCTGCAGGAAGAAGGTCTGTACTTCTGATCTCTTACAACTCATTATCATTATTCATAGTATAGAAATCAACTAATTACACCGCTCAACTATTACCCTATTTAGGTGAGAAACCTCGAGGAAAGGCATGGAAATCTCCTGTTTGACCTGGTAATTTCATTAACACAAACTTTATATCTACCTAGCTGTATACTTCATTTTATCATTATTACTCTTTCTTATCCCCTTCCGCTTTCTTATAATTGTCGTATTTGTTGTAAGATAACCATTTTTTGGATAGATGGAATAATTGTTATGTTACGTGGTTTCAACGCGCACCTAAAGTCTCTCTTTTTTTTTTTTTTTTTGTAAAGGAAACAAGATATGAGGATCCAAAGTACGGAATAGTGGACAATGCCGGGGATTTCAACTCTGCTGTTGCTTTTATTGATGGAGGAGGAATTCCCAATCTCTATTCATTCAGATTGCAGCCTCGTCATCCCAACCTTCAAAATCTCCGCTTATCTTAGTCAACCCATTAATCGATCGATGATCATTAATCAATCTATTTTAAAGCTCCGAGATATGTATCTACTATCTGTTTGTCTAGCTGATCATAAAATGACATTATGATAATCGGCGTTTAAAATCAATTCCTATATGGATGTTAGTTTTATTGTTAGTACCCTGTTATATACTGATGAAGAGAATGGTACGCAGAGCTGGCAGGCAATTCATGTGCTCTGAATTAACTTTAAGCTCTTTACCAGTCTAAGCTTATCTAATCGATGTTTTATGCTTACATGGTTCTGTCTCCCTGCAAAGATCTTAAATCAAATTTAGTTGCATTCATAATCGCCCTAAAATCGTCGTAAAGTTGTGAAAAAAATAGTGCAACAAACGAACTTGTTATCTTGTACTACTAATGGATACAACCATTAAATGCAGTAGATTACTAGTGTTTCGATTGTATATCATATAAAATATAATTTTCAAAGGGGGATGTAATTGTCTACTGATAGTTTTTTATTTGGAGTTTTATTGATTACGTACAAGTAAATATTGTGCAATACAAATTATAATTCTTTATATGTACATATATATTATACACTATATTTTTCAAAGTGTTCACCCATAACAATAATATCTAAAATCCCCTTTTGAGAATGGTAAGCACAACGATGAGTATGACACTTTGTCAAATTTTGATGAATCAACTTCAAGGGATCATATCCAAAAAATAAATTATAATCATTAATTTTTTTATTTTTGTAATTGGTTATGTAATGCACTTGACAAAAGTAAATTGTAAATAGCGTTATCTCTTCGACTGGAATTATTTTTTTTTAAACGTAAATATGTATTAATCATCAGGAGAGTTCATATTTACACCAAAAGTAGTCCATACTTCTATCTATTTTGCTACCAAAATTGAACACACTATACAAAGGTACTAAGAATACAATACTTTAAAAAAATTTCATCCTGACTAAATCTTTTGTGCCCTAAACAATATTCAGTCCGCCAGAAGACTTCTTGCTGAATCTGTTTTAAGATCAACTCTAAGGTTCTTTCCTTTCCTAAAAATACTCTTTGGTTCCTTTCTTCCCAAATTTGATATATAGCTATCGCCATTGTTACAAACAAGATTCTCCTTCTCAGTTTCCTGTTTTTACTCCATTTTAGAATAGAGCTTCTCCAAACCAGTTGATTACATGGTAAATTTGGCAGTTTCAGCCACTTCCCTACCTCCTTCAGTAATTCAGCAGAATATTTGCATTCAAAGAACAGATGGAGGAGGACTCCAACTGATTTTGACATAATATGCATTCTAAACTATCCTTTAACATATTCATTCTACACAATCTTTCTTTAATGAGCAGTCTGTTGTGCTAGAACAACCATACTATGAAAGAATGTTTTGGCACATTATATCTTTCCCGAATGAAATCAACAACATTCAATTCCTCTACACTTTCAATAAGCCAGTTATAACCATAAGAGAGAATATATTTACCAGATTCAGAGTGCTTCTACTTCATACCTTCAAATTCCTCCTTGACTTTGTCTTTCATATTCAGAATCCTTCTCCAATGCCAACATGACTCTATTTGGGTTGAATCTGCCAGAAATCCTGCCCCTTTATGTATATTGTTCATGGATCCATTTAATCCATAGATGATCTTCTTTAGTTGCAATCCACCACACCTGCTTTATTATGTATGTTTCATTCCAGATCGACACATTTCTAATGCTCAATCCACCTTCTTTATTCCTTTTGCATACCTGCTCCTAATTCACCAGTGCAACACTTCTACCATTTTCTTTGATACCCCACAAAAAAATCTAGACATTTTATTTATCTGCTGAGTTACATTATGAGGTAACAAGAAAACAAAAGCCCAAAAAAATCACTAATAGACAACATTACAAAATTAGCTAACTATAATCTAACAGTATAGCTGAAATGCTTTGTGCTCCAACACCTGATTTTTGCAGTGATCTTTTGCACCAGTACATCACAATCAGCTTGATTCCATTTCTTGTGAGATAGTGGCACTCCAAGATACTTTATAGGGAATTTTCCCATTTGAAATCCTGTAATGTTGCATATTTGGGCTTTGATATCATCTGGAACACCTCCAAAGAAAATCTGGGACTTTGTTGTATTGGCAACTAATTCGGTTGTTCTTGCAAATTTTTTCAGCACTTCCACAATCTTGGATACAGTGTAAACATCTGCTTTGCAGAAGATCACAAGATCATCTGCAAAGCATATGTTTCTTAACTTCAGTTCCTTACATTGCGGGTGAAATTTAAACTTCTTATCCTCCGCCGCTTCAGCCAGCAACCTTGTAACATATTCCATAATGAGCACAAACAACAAATTAAGGGGACATGGGGTCACCCTGCCTCAGACTCCGTTTTCCCCGAAAGAAACCATAATTTTCACCATTCAAGGAAATTGCATACATGGGAATTCCAACACATTCTAGCACTTTTTGAATGAAGGTTCTAGGAAATCTAATCCCTCTAACATTTATTCAATAAAACCCCATTCTACAAAGTCATACGCTTTCCGTAAATCTATTTTTAACATACATCTACCACTGATATTCTTCCTACCATACATTCGAATCAAATCCTGAGTAAGTAGTATGTTATGAAGTATTAACCTATTACTTACAAAGGCACTTTGATTTTTCTCAACAAGATCATTTAAGACTTCTTTCAACCTATTACAAATAATTTTCAAAATACATTAATAAACTACATTGAAACATGCAATAGGTTGATACTCAGCAGCATTATGTGGGTTATAATTTTTAGGTATAAATGCTAGAATGGTAGAATTTACCTGTTTCAACAACTGGCCATGTTCAAAGAACTCCAATACTGCTTTGTTAACATCCTGTTTGATCACTGACCATGCTCATTTATAGAATCCGCTACCAAATCCATCCAAGCCTGGACTTTTGCTGCTATTAATTCCTCAGATGGCTTTTTTAACTTCTAAACTTGTGACTTTCTTCAATAGATGGACTTGTTCTTGCCAATTCAAAATATTTCCTCATTGAAAAATCTCTGGCTGTGAGACCTCTCTGTTGTTGTTTTGCTCAAGTTGATTTTGAAAATACTCTATGAAATGATCTTTGACTAAGTTCCAGTCAGTTCTCACATTACCATTCACCCCCACACTCGAATTGATCCTGTTCTTCATGGTTCTAATCCAAAGCTTGGCATGAAAAAATGAACTATTTGAATCCCTTTATTTCACCCATAACTCCTTTGCTTTATGCTCTAGGAAGCTTTTATATGTTGTAGGAAGCTTTTATATGCCTTGCCGCTCTGAATAAATTCTCTGTAAACACCTCTTTCGTATTCCATCAGTTCCTCATTGTGTATTCCCCTGGATTTGTTACTGGATAGTTTCCAGTTTCCTTCTAAGCAACTCCATCTTCTGTTGAATATCAGCAAACTGTTCCTTGTTGAGCTTCTTTAAAACTGGCTTAAGTCTCTTAAATCTCCTAATTAGCTTAAACATGTAATTTTCCTCCACAGGTTCCCTATATGATTCTTTCACTACCCTTTGAAAGTCCTTCGATTGATTCCATATGTTGTATCATCAATCATTTCTAAAACTAGAGGGCTATGTGGTGGGGTGTTTAGCCAACAAACAATTTAACCTATTTCCAAACTAATGTAGTACAGGAAAGTAAGGTTGTCTCCTCAGGGAATGGTGAATTTCTCTCTTTTAAATCAAGTAACCAAAAGGGGGGGTTTTGAGTTGTTGAAATAAATTGCAAACAATACAAATTGCAAACAATAGCTAAAATGATTTAAACAATTAATGAGAAATATCTAGCTGAAGGGTTTGTATATCCACCTTGATTTAAACAGTTGATCATAGATGCAATGATATTATCATTAACTTATAAGTAAATTAGTTTTCATTGTTGGAACCTCCAAACAATTCAATCTTTCATTTAGTTCAATGATTAAGAAACCTTCATTAATCATATACTAGTCGAAAACCAATCTTGGAACCTCCAAAGATTTAGAAAACTACTACATTAAACACATAGACCCAATCCCAATTCCTATAAAACAAACCTTGTGTTATATTAAACCGGATTACTTGTTCTTATAACATAAATAATTACTTACCAAGTAATTAAATTATATTATACCCTATTTAAACAACAAACCTTGTTGTTTTATTGGTTTTAGATTATTAAGAAGCACCGAATGCTACCAGCTATTCATGAATCCACAATAATCATATCAATCATGCAATAGAACAAGCAAATACTCACAAGAAATTGAGAGAGAAACAACATTAAATCTCACAACTATTCAAACCAAGACTTTAATACCCTTCAACCAGATGAATGAATTTAACTACTCATCATGAAAACTGAATCACAAGAAAAATTCATTGAAAAATATTACCGATTGATGTCTATGAACTCGGAAGACTCCAAAAATGAAGAAAGTGCCTTTGAAAACTCCTTAAAAGTGGAAAACTACGTCTATTTTTATTCTCCTACCTACCACTCTTTCAAAATGAAAAGAAAAATCTATTTATATTCAGAATATAGGTCAGCCGCAGCAGCCTTCTCAGAAATCCGCAGCAGCAAATTAACTTTTCCGAGATTTGCATATTGGTTCCTCAAATTTGGCAAAATTATATTTTGACCCCAAAACTTTTTCAATTTTTCATTTTAGTCCCTGTTCGGTTTGGCCAAACGGGAATGCAGCTTCAATGCTGGAATTTCTTCTCTATAGCTCAATTTTAGACTGAGATTCGTGTGCCCACATGAGAATGTGATGTCATTGCTCCTTCTTGTGCTTCCTTGTCAAAATGCTCCAAAAATGTGTGTTTATGAAACATTTTGCTCCATCTCATCTCTAAGGACTCCTACGAACCAAAAACATCAAAATACATAATATAAGTGCATAATCTAATCCAAAATACTATACAAATACCTATAAATAATATGAAACTTCAAGACCTATCACTATGGTCTGATACACCTTCTACCAAGGCTGCAACAGATGAGTGTGGAAAATTCATTTTCCAGTTTCCATTGACCAATGCTCTATCAATCTTAGAGTAGATTCTTCCTCCTCCAACTTGTTTATTGGACCATGTAAACTTAAGACCCTATTGTTTCAGGTCTTGAAGTTTACAGAGATCCATACATCTTCTCATTCCCTGCATTTCATTAAGTGACACTAGGCTACCTCCTCTTCTTTCACGAGTGTTCATCACATTATCAAAGTCAACCATAGCTATCCAACTGCACCTTATCCCATCAGATAACTATATCATATCTTCGCACAACTGGTTTCTATCCTCTTGCTTGTTAGAAGCATATATGGCAGTGAGAAGAAACTTCACTCCTTTACTCCTTAGTTCAACCTCACAGTGTATGAACTGCTTCTCTTTTTGTATTATATGAATTGTTACATATCCAGTATTCACACAATTACTACACCATTCATATCCACCCCATAATTTTTCCATCATCTGTACTATCTTACTATACTCTAATTTAACTTCAACAAAGCAAATCATAACTGTATTAAACAAAGAATTTAATCTCTTTACCTCCTTCTGCTTTACAGGGCTATTGAGACCCCGAATGTTCCAATGAAGTATGCTTGTCATTGATTTATTCCTGGGTTCAAGGGATTCCCTCTCCTTACTTCCTCATTCTGGACTGCCTTTTCCCTTCCTTTAGTCACCATATGGCAGATTCCAATTCCTTTATATTCTCACCATCTTCTTTTATTGTCAGCAGGAAAAACCTGTTGTCATATTTCCTTCTATGATCTTTAGTGATCCATTTCTTGTTTCTGTTCCTCTTGTTCAGTCTGCTCCAGCTCAGTACCCCTCTTAGTAACTCTTTTCCACTCAGTCACTGCTTTTCCTTTAGCTTGAGCTTCGTTCACTAGTTTTATTGCTTCTTTTGGTTCCATCTTTTTCCTACAGTCTTCCTCGCCATGCCCAAAGTAGCAATAGTTTTTGCACTGAGTGCCTCCATTCATAGTATACCCCTTGCTCCATTAAATTTCCATTTTTATCAACAATGTGCGCAATCAGAGGGGGTTTCTCTCTGATCTCAACATCAATTAATACTCTAGCATACGCAACCCTTTCCTTAGTTACAGTTAGAGCATCAGTGGCTATGGGTCCACAGAAGGTACTTGCAATTCGGCTAAGTATAGCTGGATTCCAGAACTTAAGCTCGAACCCCCGGAAATTGGACCCATACCGGCACATGTTTTACCTCTTTATAGTTTGAACCTCTTTATAGTTTGAACCCCTTTATACCTTCCAAGGTTTAATAATCACTGGATTAGAACCAAAGTAATTAACAGGATCTGACAAAACTTCATCCCTATCTTCCACAGTTTTGAACCAAATTACATACAATCCAGTTGGGAGTAATACCACTCTATCAATATCTAAATGCTTCCATATACGTTTATAAAATGATTTTATTACCTTGAAGAGCGGATTAGCTCCAAATACGAAGCTAATGATTGATGGTGGCCAATACTCCAATTTACTATGCACATCTCGCTTCTGCACTAATGCTATTTGAATTCCATTCTTCTCTTCTGGTTCCACATAATCCAGTGGAACCCCTCCCTTTCTAAATTTCTTCACATCAAACGCATCCCAATTGAATTTCTTCTATGTGTCTCCTGCTATAGCTCCAGCAGATCATTCCAGCTTTCTCGAAAGATTAATGCCTAGAATCTCACTGAGTGTTTTCGTTTGGTTCCGCAAAGCATCTTCTGACTCCCAGATTGCGAATCAACTACCTTCTCCATAACCCTAGATGAACTTTCTCCAATTTGATTTTCTCTCATTTCCGAATGATTTTTGCATAGATCAATTGGTGAATTACTTCTGCTCACAATCTCCTTATCTGTTCGTGTGTCTTCTACCACTCTCTAGCTCTTCGTTTCGCCATGGCAGGCGCAAATTAGTCTGCGGTTCTAATCATGATTTGCGCCGAGAGAAGATGTGAAGAGAGAGAAAGTGATTATAATTTGTCTTTACTCGTAAATGAAAATCTTACCATAAATTTTCTTAATAAAACAAAATATACTCTATTTGTAGTGTAAATAAAAATTTAAACCAGACAATCATTTGGGAATAAAATTTAACATATATAAAATAATAATAATTCAAGAAAATATACATAAGACGTGATATTTTTGTCATCTATGATTCCTAATTATCTGCAGCTATAATTGGCTTGATTCCCAAGAACCTACTAATTCGTAAGTTAATTAATAACAAGAACCACGTAAAAGATATACATTAATTTGAGGCAACTCGTAATTTCAATTTCATCATATTCTCTTTTTTCCATATTAAAGAAAAAGAAGAAAAAACTCAAACTGGGTTTTTATTTGTTTATTTTGTTTGGTTTAAAAAGTTGTACAAATGCCTAATTAAGGTATCAATTTAAAGAATAAAATAAACGGGGTTGCGGTGGACCGAAATATTCCAAAAGGGGGGAAAAGCCAAAAAAAAATTAAAATAAAATAAAAATAAAAATGGAGCAAATAAAGGGGCAAGTTGTTACGGTGGTCGATTTCTGGAGGAAAATCAGCTTTTTTAATATCGGTATCATTCGGGAGAGGACTAAAGGAGGAGAGAGCTTCAACTCTAAATTCCTCCGTCGCAGAACCGGAACTAGCTAAATTAAGGATCCACACACAGTCACACAGTGAGATACTTTAGGTTTATACAAAGCCAGCAAGTTTGGGGGAGAAGTTGGATATGGCAACTGCTGGTCCGGTGTCCATTTCTTGGATCCCGGAGGATGACCTTTTGCTGAAAAATGCGGTTGAGGTAAACGACTTCATTCGCCGGTGCAGTTATCTTGGAATTTACTTATATCTCGTATTATATAACCAATTTAATTGAACTTCATTCAGTATCTTGCTTCATTTCGACTGTTTGAATTCAATTTAAGTTATCAACGTCTATAATTTGGAAGTGGCATTGTTACAAAACATTTCTGATGCTAAGTTTAAGTATTCGGAACTGATTTTTGTTGCTCCTTGTTTCTAGGAACTGTTAGTCGAGTTTATTTTCTGCAGCTAGTTTCCAGTGTGCTTTTGAATTTTTTGTGTTTCCTTTTTTTTTTGGGGGGTATGAGGGGGGTTTACTTTGTCCAATTTCTTAATGTTGTTGAAATCATCATTGTTAAAGGATTTTTAGTGGTATTGTTAACCTGATTCTGGTTTGAGAAGGGATGTTTTATTTTCGTGTTCCTCTACTTTTCTTGTTTTGTTTGTTTTTCTTTTAAATTGTGATTTGTAATTGCTTGTCAAAAGATTATGTTGTGGTAGACAGATCCACGGGATGTAGCTTGTTTTTGAAGGATAAAAATGTCCTTTGTCTCCATTGGACTTTATGACTACCACTTACATAAGATTGCATACAGGCGTTCTTGTTCTGAAATCTTGATGTTGTGCTTGTTTTTATTACAGGCTGGTGCCTCTTTGGAAGCACTTGCTAAGGGGGCAGTCCAGTTCTCTCGTAGGTTTTCTTTTCAGGAGCTGCAAGATAGGTGGCACTCCCTTCTCTATGATCCTGATATATCAGCCCAAGCTTCTACCAGCATGTTTGAGCTTGAACTCTCTGGTTTCAATCCTTTATCGAGAAACAGTAAATGTGAGCCTTCTAAGGGAAACAAGGAGGTATCTGAAAAGAGGAAAATTGGAAGTATCCGTAAACAATACTATTCTATGCGTAAGAAATTTCGGAGTGAATTTTTCAACACTAGTGATCTTGGTTTCTTGGATGAACCCAATCTTCATGATGGCGGTGTACATGTGGCTGATTTCCAGGGTTTCAATGGGGAGCCACCAAGCACCACATGTGGTCTTGGAAATGCTATTCCCAATCATTTTGACTTTCAGGAAGCAGAAATACAGATTCTACGTAGTGCTTTTGCAAAACCAGCCAGGGATTCATCTATTATCCATGGCGCGGTTAGTAACCACGGTTCATATCTCACAGGATGCTCTAATACACATGGAGATAAGCATCCTGATGGCGCGTTGCGGACATATGGATATTCTGAGGTGTCTACATCATATGGACAAAATGGAATGACCTTTGATCCAGATGTTAAACCATGTCTTTCTACTTTTTCTAAAGATAATCCAGTCAACTTTGATGATCACTCAGGTATGCACGAAGCTTGCCTACCAAAAAATCTTGAGATGCAACGGTTATCTGTCTTTGATACGAAAAAGGACAATCCACAAAATGCCATTCGTGGCTCAAGGCAAGAACAACATTTGAGCCCGCCTAGGGATGATAGTTCGTACCATGCCATTGGCTTTTCATCGGCACAGCCTAATCTTCCCCTTTGGGATCCAGTTGATAATTTTTCTGCAAATCCTATGCCAGTCAGTTTGAAGCGTGGTGATGGAGTTCAGGATGCAAATGAGATGCTTGCTAATGATGGAGAAGGGAATGATTCATTTGTTTATGATGTGGTCAATGGTGGGCCTATGTTGGGAGTCTCGGAGGCTGATTTTGGGGACCTTCCTGACTCCCTGTTGAACCTTTCAAATGAAGATGATATTCTCCTGGCAGATGCAGACGGGAAAGTGGCTGCGGAGAAGTCTTGTTCTGATATCGTTGATTCTGTCTTACCAAGTTCTTCCACTGCCGCTCCTGAAGATGCAGTCAACAACCTTGTACCTGTTGCTTTGGTTGTCCAAGATAGTTGTATAGCCAATCAGTGCAAAAATCTTGAAAAGTCTGGAGCTATTAATACTTCTACTCAGAGTGATCATTATATGCACAATGCTGAAGTTAATGAGCTGTTGGATTCAACTTTGGCCCTTGATTCTCATGCTCTGAGTGATGGAAAAATTCTCTGTACATTGAACACTGAAGATCCTGAAATTCCATGCAACGATGATATATTTTTACTTATTCACCCTTCCACATCATTTGCACCGTCCACATCCCAACCAAATCCTGCAAATGCAATGGAAATATCTTCTGCAGCTAGTCAGGAACAATTTGAACCTGGAATGAAGGTGGTTATGGATACGAAGGATGTTGCGAGATCGTCCAACTGGCCACAGAAAAATGGGCCAGACATCTTTCCTGAAACATCTTCTCCGCATTCTCTAGTGGGTTCAAAAATAAATTCTGAGTTACATGATATGAAATCTAAAGATATGCTTGCCAAAGTTACCAATAAGAATACTGGTGACTTGAGTCGCACTGGATTATCCTGCAGCAATGCAAGTGTATCAGCTAACGGGATTCTGGGAGAGGACATTTCAAGACTTGAGTTGAAGGTACCATACTTGTGAAAGTAACTATTTTGATCTTCACATAATCTTGTAATTCTTGAGAGCCATGGTTGTAATTACTAGTGTCTATTTGGCCATGAACAGGCTGGAGAAGTGCCAGTAACACTTCCTGGGGCTCAAAACACGACAGGAGGTTCCCTCAATGTAGATATTTCGGAATCAACGGTGAACCCTTCAACTTCTGATCAGGAAGAGTATCAGAGTGATGATGACGTGCCATATTTTTCCGACATTGAAGCTATGGTAATTGTTCAAAAGTCTTGATACGAGGTGTTGTCCTATGTTTTTTACTTACCATGCTTTCTTTCATTGTGTTTCCATGATATTTCTTTCAGATTCTTGAAATGGATCTAGATCCTGATTATCAAGACAAAGACACACAAAGAAAAAGACTTGGTATTCCACCTGATCCTGCATGGATTTCCTCTGCTGTTTTGTTTACTGCCTAGGGGAAAATAAAACTTTTTCCTTTTTTCCTTTATAACATTTAGTTATATGAGGTCAAAGTTACCATGAAGGTGCGATGACATTTGTGTACTATGGGGCAGTTAAGAATGTTTGTGAGTGCTTTTGTCATTTCTTATTTGCAGCATCAAAATATCAGTCAGAGGACACAAGAAGAAGCATCATAAGGTTGGAACAGTGTGCGAGATCATGCCTTCAAAGAGCCATGACTTCGCTTGCAGCCTTTGCCATTTTCTATGGTCGCCATTTGAGGCATTACATTATAAAGACTGAGGTGCATTTTCAGAATCTCATCATTTCTTTGGTATTTTATTTGGTCAGTTTGGAAGACAGTCACCCCGCTGTATGTTTGTGGCCATACTTACTGTTTCTTTCCTCACTCTGTTTTACCTTTAGTTCTCTGTTTCATTTCTATGTTTATTCCTGAAGAATAAAAAAGCGGTCAATCAATCTTGTTTCTAATTCTTTCTGCACATGTTTGAATTTCGACTGAAGACCCGTTTTCTTTTCGTGGCTAATTCACATGCCAGTGAACCGTGAGCATCTTAATCTCTATTTGTCCTATAATCGAATGCTATAACAAAAGGCTACGAACATATATTCATGCTGTACCTAAAAGCTTCTTGAAAATTCAAATTTGCTCGCTCAGGCTATGTTATTACTCCCTCTGTCCCGAAATTATTGTCCAGTTTGGATTTTCATTTTTAGTACCCCGAAATTATTGTCCAGTTTGGATTTTCTTTTTTAGTACTAAAAATGAAAATCCAAACTGGACAATAATTTCGGGACAGAAATATGAACTAAAAATGAAAATTCAAATTGGACAATAATTTTGGGATAGGGAGAGTATTATCTTTTATGTCTTTTCTCTCTATGCCCTTTCATTCATGTACAATTCTTTTTAATAGTTGAAGCATGAGAGTTAGGCTCGGATACTTTACACAAGTTACAAGAAAAATTCTTTTTGTATCTGTGACATATAAATGTTTGTTATTGTTTCCTTTTATGGAACATTGATTAGGTTTTTTTTTTTTTTGGTATATGTGTGTGTTGTTTTGTGCTTTTTTTTTTTTTTTATTTTTTGTACAGTTTTTTAGTAATGTTCCTCCTTGTTTGAGTTGGTTTTGCAAAATTCTCACCTATGCAGTGACCTTTAATATGACTCGGGAAACAGTAATAAGTAGCATTGATGCCTTAATGTGAACCGTATCATCTGTTATTCTTATCTCCGCTATTCATTTTCTAGGTCATTCTTGGAAGGTCAACAGATGATGCTGAAGTTGATATAGATCTGAGAAAAGAAGGGCGCGCTAATAAAATTTCTAGGCAGCAGGTAATACCATCATCCAGCTTATGCCATCAATCTATTGTAGAATGTTGAAATCTTGTTTCTTTCGGGATAAATGAAAGTATTTCTAATAAGATCAAATCAGGTCAGGGGCATTTTGGTTTTATTCTTAGGGAATTATTCCCTATTTTGAACTCTTAAATCCTGATGCTATAAAGAATTTTTATTTTTATTTTTTATTTTTGCATTTTTTCCTGCTTCCTGCAACTTTAGGCTATTGTTAAGATGGAGGCAAATGGTTCTTTCTACTTGAAGAATCTTGGAAAGAGTTTAATCTCAGTAAACGGAAAATCAGTTGCAAAGGGACAGCTGATCTGCCTTAGTTCCAGTTGTTTGATTGAGGTATTTTTTACTTGTACATTTCAATTCACCAATTTTCTTTTTCATGTTTGCACCCTTTCTGGAACCTTAATACGAAGCAATTTCTTTGTGCAATTTATTTGTAGATAAGAGGAATGAGTTTTGTGTTTGAAACCAACCAGAAGTTTATCAGACATTACATAAATATGTCTCAGAGAAACAAAGGCAAGAATAGCAAGTTGGAGTGGTTACCCGATGACGAAACATAAGCAGACGGTTTCATTGACAAGGTGCCTCCTAATCATCCCTTTGATCAGGCTTTACTAAAATTCTGTCTTAGGAACTTTTTATTCCTAAGGGAGAATTTGCTCTGTACATCAACGTAAATGTAGTTATAATGATACTTCCATGCATATATATAAATCTAATGAAGCATTTCATCTCTTCTTGTCCTATTTGTTCCTTAATCTAATCGGACTAATCTTTTAATGATGGTATTAGTTAACAATCCCAAGTGAACAATTGTGCCGGGGTAGTCGGCTATTTTGACCACAAACTAAAGTGTGGTCTAAGGACTTGTATATGGAAATGATACGGATTAAAAATAATCATGGGATCCAAATGAAATCATCATGCGTGGTGCTTCTAGCTGACAGGGCTAAAGTTTTTTAATCGTTTCTGTGACCTGAATCTTACGCAAAGGGCTTGTTTCAACTCGCTAGATGTAGAAGTTAATCATTTGAGCAGTCGCTTGCAACTAACTGGAGTAGAGATATTGTTATTCTCTTCAGATGCTTCATCATTTGAGCAATTTTGCTTGCAACTAACTGGAGTAGAGATTTGTTTTCTCTTCAGATGCAACTCTCTTCTTCATCATCAAAACATAGTGAAATCTTTTATCAGATTTGGATATTGGTCCAGTAGCCTATCATGCCAGCCAAAAAGGCTACTCCTTTTTACTCCTTTTAGACACATGTTGTAGAATGGGCTTGTGGAGTGTCTGGTTTAAACTACTTTCTTGATTGTGACAGAAGCATTAGGAGTAGTACATTAGGAGTTCTTTTGGGTTGAAGGTTATGGTACATTTTGATGTGTCCAAATTCGTTTCCCAACCTCTACCAAATGGTACAAAGTCAATATTTTAGCAACATGTAAGTCCTAAAATATACATTTGGAAAAAGAATGAAAGAGGGGAAACCTATAACTTCTTAGTGATTTGGTGGTAAAAGGTTCCTTTTTACAGTAATTGAGAGGTAAATGTATACAACAATCTAATGTCTTGCCTTTTTTTTTTTTTAGTTTTAAAAAATGGATGAATAATTAAGAATATAAAAACTCTGTGTAATGAGTCCAGTTTTTAGGTCCCCTACACCAGCAGTAAAAAACAAAGGAAAGAGCAAGTGGCATCAAATGGTCTCGGAAAACAGTCCCCTGCCTTGGTATCAAATAACAAAGTTACAAAGGTATCATTGGGAAGGAACAAGAATTGTATTCTTTGAAGATTGTAAAAAAGAGAGCTGTGGATGACATATATGCCTGCTGGCCACAAATTTTGATGTTTCGTTACCAAAATAATTGGAAAATGAGTAGCTATTGAAAAATCCTAACTTGGTGCCAAACTGTGCCAGCTTAAGAAGAGGATGATCACCATTTCTGGCACAGCGGGTTAGATATTTCCTTCATTGTATTTAAACATCAACTTGCTTCATATAATTGCTAAGGGGGTTTCTTCCGTATATTTTTAAAACTCTTTAAATATATAAAAAATAAAACTCTTATATTGAAACGACGGTAGTATTTGTTTCTGTGGCCTGATTTGGTAGGGAAGACGTAAAATATACTAGTGGAATGTTTGCGGCTCCTAATTAGCAGTAAGATTTTCAAGGAGCCACGGAAGAACCGCATATCAATGGAATTTTGCAAAGGATAGAACATTTGTAATTGTTGCATGAAACATACCATGTTCTCGTTCCCATTTTGGAACCAACTACGTACAAGGTGTAAAGGAGTTTAGGGATGGCTTTTCCTCCATGATTGATTCTGCTTTCCGTTTCGGGTGAATACAGAGAAAAAGAACATAAAACCACTCATCTGAAAAAAATTTATCTGTATAAGGGTTATGATTTGAATGCATGAAGACGCATCCGGTGAGGAAAAATAGAAGTATTAACCCTCTATTTTGCTATTTTATGAAGATTAACAAACAAAAAGAGTGCGGTATCTAACACTCCATAGTCAAAACATTCATCATGGTTACTTACTCGAAAATCATGGATCAGAATATTCGTTTGGTAGTTCTTTTTTTTTTTTTTCGAAAGTAATTCGTTTGGTAGTAGAAATTACGGCTAAACTACCTAACTAATGCAGTTTTCAAGATTTACCACACACACAAAAAAAAGAAACAAAGTAGTGATTGCCACCAAAAAAAAAAAAGGCGTGGTCCAATCTTAAGGTATCCATTTAATTAAGTTATCTATGGTCCATTTGACCATCATCTCTAACTAGAGAGAGACACTAGGATATTCCCAAATATTTAAAAGGAAATAGGGAATTGAGATGATTATTATTTTGTTTTAAAAAAAAAGGAATTGAGATGATTAATTTATGCAAAATTACTTGCAGAAATCCCGATTAAATAACACTAAACCCCACATCATTCAGTTAATGCATTTGCCAGTTAACGTTGCTACAATGAAGCTGTCTGCACAAATTTTAATTCACAGAAACAAAAACCTTGTCCAAATTGCTCCCAGCAGCTGACCAGTGAACCCATTAAATTCATTCAGCAACACAAATCCCAATTCCCACCAAAAAAGCAAAAAACAACTCCCAAGTCCCAACTTCCACCCTCATCATCTTCCCCACCACATTCATCTGGGTTTGCTGTTTTTTTCCTCCTTGTTTGCATTCATTACTACTAATCTTTGAATTTCTCTCTCTCTCTCAAAAAAAAGAAGCAAATGTTGTGAAACAAAGAAAGAAAGAAAGGAGGAATTAAATTGCAGTTGGGGAGGGGGGTGGGGCTCTGAAAACTCTGACACCGCCCGTGAATTCCACTCACAGAATTGAAAAGATCTTTTCTTGCATTAGCTTCCTGTCGTACTACTTCATTGTTTTACTGTACTCAATGACATAATTTTAGAAGGCAGCGCCACTGAAAAAAAAAAAGTAGTAGTAAAACCCATCATCATCCAACATCATCATCCCTTTTATCCAGGCCACTTCGAAATTCGTTCATCTTTTTGTAATTATTCTTCTTCTTGTTCTTCCTTATCCAAACTTATACATAACCTTTCAAATTAGTTCCATTTCTTCTAGTATCTCTTTTTTTAAACTACAGGTAATTGAAGAAGATTTGAAATCATGGGTTCTCTTTCTGGTTTCCCCTGTTCTTTATTTTTAGTACTGGTGTTATTAGAACTGTTGTTACTCCATGCACAATCGAAAACACACCCGGATGATGTAGAAGTACTGAAACAGATCAAAGAAAGCGTCGACCCGAAATCAGTGAACCCGGGTTCTTGTTTAGGTTCATGGGATTTTCAAGTAGACCCCTGTGACAGCGTTTTCAGCGACAAATTCATCTGCGGGCTCAGGTGCGACGTTGTTTCACCGGAGGGAAGCCGAGTCACCGAACTGACTCTTGACCAGGCGGGTTATTCCGGCTCATTGAGCTCCATTTCCTGGAACTTACCGTACCTTCAGAAGCTGGATTTATCAGGGAACTACTTCACCGGAGCAATCCCGGAATCGTTCTCGCAGTTACCACAGCTTCAGCAACTGGGTCTATCCCGGAATTATTTCTCAGGTTCATTGCCGGAATCTCTTGGCGCTCTTTCAAGTCTCCAGGAGCTGTACATCGACAATAACAACCTTGAAGGCCCAATCTTGTCAAGTTTCAACGCATTATATAATTTAACAAGGCTCGAGCTCCAAGGCAACAAGCTCAGCGGCGCGTTTCCTGAACTTAGCCAGCTCAACAGCCTCAATGTCATCGACGTCAGCAACAATGCCATCTCCGGCGAGCTCCCGGCGAACTTCCCGGCGTCCCTGGTCGAGCTTTCCATGAGGAACAACAGCTTGGTCGGAGCCATTCCGGCGAGCTTGAGCAACGTGGTGTACTTGCAAGTCTTGGACCTGAGCCACAACGGATTCGGCGGCATAGTTCCGGCGAGTTTGTTCACTCACCCCTCACTGGAACAGTTGACTCTGTCGTTCAACGAGCTGGAAGCGGTTGAGGCTCCGGGAGATTCGGGTGTGAACAGCCAGCTGATAGCCGTTGACTTGAGTAATAACATGATCCGTGGGTTTTTACCCGGGTTCATGGGCTTAATGCCCAGATTATCGGCGTTATCACTGGAAAACAATCAGTTCTGGGGGATGATTCCGGCCGAATACGCGGTGAAGGTTATGCTGAGTCCGGGTCAAGAGGTGGCACAATTTGAGAGGCTGTTGCTAGGCGGGAACTATCTATTCGGAGCCATCCCGGGTCAGTTCTTGGGGTTGAAACCGGGTTCGGTCACGATTAACCTGGGTGATAATTGCTTGTACCGATGCCCCTTGAGATTGTTCTTTTGTGATGGTGGGCAGCAGAAGTCTTTAATGCAATGCAAGGCCTTTGCCCCATTCATTCCGTAATGTGAAGAAAAAAGGAATAGCATTTGAATGAATGTATGATATTTTTTTTGTACCAAAATTTTCTTTTCATTTGTTAGATGTGTTATTTTAGTTCTTTTCTTCCCCTAGATGGGATTGTTGTATATAGAAGCATGCAGGCATTAAAATTTTTTCCCGGAAAATAAGAGGTATGCATCCATCCATGTATGGAAGAATAATGCATTTGTATTTGTATCCGGATTAATTTGGTTTCCAAGTGATTTTTGTGCGTAAAATAGGAAGTATTTTGTTGCATTTTGTTGATGTCAATTGTGAGTGATTGATTATGGGATGGTAGGAGAGGCTCTTTCTTTTTCAATTCTATCTCGTGAGTTTGATAATGTGGCGGGGTCATTGTCTTCACCCATGTAGTACATTATCATTAACTGGCTGTACGCTTATCATTAAATTTGGGACCAGTAACTGAAAACAGAAACCACCAAAAAAACTTGTACCACCACGTAGTCTATGCAACCCAAGCCCGGAAAGACCCACCACCTCTTTGGTCCAGCACGGACAGTATGGCTTTTAAAGGTCCCAACATTATGGGGCTACCCATTTCGCATAATTTTGCTTCTTATGATCATACTTAGCTTGGATCAACTATTGAGATGCCTATTATGATCGAGGGAGATTAGTCATAATTACTGACGGTAGACACCGTGTAATATGCAAAAAAAAAAAAAAAAAAAAAAAATTCCCTTGGATTTATGAACTTATTAGGTAGCTTGGTTGAGATAGGGGAGCTATCTTAACGAAAATTTTACCCAAAACAAAACCCTCAATTAAGTAGATGAACCAAGTTTATGGATATCTTCAATACGATCAAGATCAATAAATAAATTCTCGATTTCTAATTGTCTATTAATGGTTTATCCTTGATTTCCAGATTAAACCAAAAAAAAAAAGAAAAAAACTACCTGCATTACCTCCCTTTCTTGGCCCACAATCTGAGTACTAAGGGTTCTTGGGGTGTTAGGCCAACGCTATCAACAATCCCACTGGGCAGACTAAGAAACTGGTGAGCCAGTGGGCCTATCGAAAATGCGGATGCCATTGTAGGAGCTATTTTGAGTCAATCGTGCTCTTAATGACTTACTAGCAGAGGTCTCGGGTTGGATCAGTTGGATCAGTTGGCACCAACCAGCGCTTGGATCAATTGGCAGGGTACTGATCCAGTTTAAGCAGAGGTTTCGGGTTCGAGACTCTGCATACGCAGCCGTATTAAAAGGTTGGTTGGTAGAGGTTGTCTCTCGAAAGAAACCTATCTGCCTCGGGTCCGGATTAGTTAGCGGTCAGTCGACTCCTGCGGGTGTAACGATAGCGGCTGGATACCGAATACGTGTGTAAAAAATAAATAAATAAATAAAAATAATGACTTACAAGCAGAATATTGGATTTTCCAAGTCAAACTTCGTAATAATGTAATCAATCAAAGGACTGTATGCTTGTAGTTGGTAGTTCTCTCCGTCGGTTAAATAATGTTTAGTTTGTTGTATCATTTTCTAGTCCAACAAAGCAAATGAAGGAGTACTACTTACTTTTAGGTCGAACAATCGAAATAATCACCACTAACGAAATGCCAAAGGTTACTTGCCTCCGCACAAGTGAGAAATCAATGTACATCCTGACATTAAGCGGGTCTTGATGTGTAAATTTTTCCCATATACCCCTTTTTTCTCTAGTGAATAAGTTCAAAGATCTTCACACGGCAGCTATAATTATATCAAAGTCAAAACTCCTGCTTCCTTCCACATTTTGGACCCTCCAGAATTTTTTAGAGTCATATATCCATACATCATCCTTGTAGCAATTGTGGTGAAGGAAAAGATACGTTATCTAAATTGTTCATTTCATTGTGCCATCATCGGCCCTAATAAAAACATACTCTTTCCATTACATTTTAATAGGTAACTTTCTTGTACTAAACATAGTGAATAATTAAAATAGGACGAGGGAGAACTGAAATTGATGAAGATAATGCAAAACAACTTTTTGACTTAAAGGGTGGATTCCCACCCCTTTGTGGAATAATATAAAGCAGCCCATGATCATCATATGCAGCAGGACGCCGCCAAAGGTGGTTTGATGGTATGATTAATACCAGATTCATGCTTAATGTGCGCACTTTAGGCTTAAACCAATATCATGTGTTTTAATTCAATGCCAAAAGGATTGAATGAGGAATGGAGTGAGAAACAGTGCACCTTTGGTCTTTAATAACTTAGTCCAATTGGGCTGCCGCATATCTTCTGATCATCATGTGATGTTTGATTTGTTTATAATGCCCTTCATTGACTCCAAACTTTCAACAGTTTGATTTGGGAGTTTCGAGAAGAAGATAATGCATCTCATGAGAGTTTTGTGGGTCTGTGATATGTATCCCTCCTTGTCATGCGCAATTTAAGTATTGAATGAATGATAGATTAGCTCTTAATTTCGTACTACTTTTTTTTTTTTTTTTTGAGTTATTCTGACCAAACAGAAAAGAAATGAGAAGAATTGAAAGAAAGCTGCACGTTATATAATTACAACAAACAACATTGATATGGGTTTGAGCTCAACTAACTATCCAGTAAAACACAAGTGACTTTGAAAGCCACAAAATGACTTCTTCAATTCAGCTGATGATCCTCGGTGTCTTATTTTCTGCCTCATTGCTAACAACAACTGAAGCTTGCCATCCTGTTGACAAAGCAGCATTGCTGGATTTCAAGTCCAAAATCACTTTGGACCCTTCAAATCTGCTGAGATCATGGATTCCAACCACAGATTGCTGCATGAGCTGGGCAGGGATTTCCTGTAACCCTTCCGGCAGAGTGGTGAACGTTTCTCGTCCCGGACTTAGTACCGACGACGACGGCTTCCCTCTCGACACATCCATGTCTGGAACCTTATCCCCTGCTCTTGCCAACATCTCCTATCTTGAATTACTTGAGCTCAGTGATCTCAAGGATTTGGCAGGTTTTATTCCTCCTGAATTTGGCAAGTTATCAGGCCTTACTCATTTATTTCTTGATAAAAACAAGCTCGTCGGTTATATACCATCAACATTCCGGAATTTGCACAAACTAAAGAGGCTCTATCTCAGTGACAATCAGCTCTCTGGTTCTGTCCCTTCCACCATTTTTGAATCTCTTTCATCTCTTTCAGAACTTGGGCTTTCAGGGAATCTGTTGTCTGGTCCAATTCCATCCACTATCAGTAAGTTGGTTTCACTGACGAGAATCGATTTCTCTCAGAACAACTTCTCTGGTGGTATTCCCCTGGGTATTGGAGATCTTAAGCGTCTGGAGTATGTTGATTTTTCTTACAACCAATTAGTTGGAAGCATCCCACAATCCATTGGTAGATTGTCTAACTTAAATCTGCTCTATCTCAATCATAATCACCTGAATGGAACTATTCCTTCTTCAATCTCTGGCCTCGTTTCGCTGGGATTCTGCCGTTTATCCGACAACAAGCTGACTGGAAATATCCCATCGTCAATTGGCAAACTTCGTTCCATCCAAAGACTAATATTGGAGAACAACAAGCTCACAGGGAAACTACCTCCAGAAATAGGAAACCTTTCCAATCTTACTGATATGTACTTCTCCAACAACAACTTCTTTGGCCAAATCCCTTCAAGTTTTGCTAATCTCCGGAGCCTGCAATTTCTGGATTTGTCGCGAAATCGCCTAAACGGTCCAATCCCGCCACAGCTTTCGAAATTGCCGAATTTGCAGTCATTAGACTTGTCATTTAATCCTCTTGGACTCATCAGCATACCTACTTGGATGCAAGAATTGAAGGTCCTCCGTTTATTGCTGACGAGGACTGGAATCAAAGGGCAGCTTCCTAATTGGCTGGCTTCAACATCATTATCAACGCTGGATTTATCAGACAATGAATTGACAGGGAAATTGCCCAGCTGGATAGGAAACATGTCTGAACTTTCGCTTCTGAATCTGTCAAACAATGCATTCCACTCTTCGATTCCAGATGAATTCAAGAATCTAACCCGGTTAATGGATCTTGATCTTCATTCCAACAAGTTTTCTGGTGGGCTCAAAGCCATATTTGCAAAACGTATCGAAGATCCATTAGGCAGCTACAACACCATTGATGTTTCAAACAATTCCTTTTCCGGTCGCATCGATGACAGCATAGGAGATGAACCATCCTTATCTTCCATCGTTTCCTTAATCCTATCATACAATCCACTCGGAGGAACCATACCAAAGTCGATCGGAAAACTCAAGGAACTGACCACTTTACTGCTTTCGCATAACAATTTAAGTGGCGGAATCCCAGAAGAAGTGTTCAATAACCTTACATCACTTCAAGAGCTTGATGTTTCTCAGAATCATCTGAGAGGAAGAATCCCACCTCACAATGCCAGTATCCCAGTTAAAGCATTTTTAGGGAATCCTGGGTTGTGCGGAGCTCCACTTCCTCCTTGTAAATAATCCTAAGATCCAATTACAGCATCAAACAACTCAATATCATCATACTTCAAACACATGCAAAAACTTTACTATACTTTAAACAGAAGCCATAGTGTAATAAAATGAAGTTGCTCCAAGATTTTAATTATATAATATGCATTTGTACCCGAAATTACAGTGACGCACTGGCAGATCTAGGGTGGGGGCTTGGCCCCCACTGGCCCCACCCTAGACTTTAATTATATATACATTTTTTTAAATGTAATCAAAAAATTAAATCAATCAAGTTGTTTTACACCATAAAAATGGTGTTTTGTATAATTTTTCCGAGATTCTGTTTTGCTTAATACTGTTTAGAATGTACTGTTTTGCTTAAATAAAGGGTCCAAATTTGAAGTGAATCATAATAGTAGGTATTTTCTTATAAAAAAATTAAATAAAGTTACAAGGTACTTTGAAATATATTTATGTTTTTATTTTGTGCATATTGCACACGGTGTCCTAAGTGCATTACACTCAGACTAATTCGCACCAAACCGGGTTGGTCTCCTTTCGGAGAGAAAGCTCTCCCAACATTGTTCTTTCCATTCATGAGACTCGAACCCGAGACCTCGCTTAAGGAAACCAAAACACCTTATCACTTTGGCCGATTAAGTGCTGGTAAAATATATTTATGTTAATAATGCATAATTTTATATAATCGAATGGTCAGAAAATAAATAATCCTCGTGTAATCAGATGATGGACATTTTGTTTTCCTTTTTTTCGTCTTATAAGCGTTTTGTTGAAAGAATAATTTGTTTTAAAAAACCGTTAGTTTTAATTTCGCCTATTAATCTATAACTGATCTAAGAAGAGTTTTTATCTATGTATGAAGTGACTTTGTTTGCATAATTGATTATGTATATGCATGTACGATATGATATGAAAATAGTTCCAAAATTTCATAAACATAGGAAAATTCATACTGATAACAATTATAAAAATATATTTTTTTCCATAAATGTACGTACTTATTAATGACCCCAGTGTGAATTCGTTCTACGTCTGCTACTGCAGTGACGTAAAAGTCACAAGGAGCCTGAATAAATGGGCTGCCATTTTTACATACTTTATTTCCTGTCATTTTTTCCATCGGAAAAAATACGAATATTAAAAAGAGGAAATTGGTGTTGTGGAACGAGGATTGATGATATCTTTAAACTTGTACATAAACAAATGTTGAGTACTAGGGTGGGGGCTCTAATGAGTAATGACCATATTGATTCCTTTCAAAAACAAAATAAAATACAACAACTATTTGGTCCGAATGGTAAAGGCCAGCTTAATCATGACCTGGGTTTGAAAACAGACATAGGCATGCAACAGTGATTAAAATACTTGTTAGGAGATCGGGTGTATAATATACCGAAAAAAAGATTATTTTATTGCTCGTATAATAATATTATATCGGGTTTAAAATAAAACTCTTACTTTTTTAGGTTAGAGAAAGTAAATATTTTTCTCTTTTTCCTGTAAATGTTTTGAAAGAAAAAAAAAATAGTTTGATTACATTATATTAGATTACAGCTGATTAAAGGCCACAATTTTTTTTTTTTATATGGATGCTTGTTGGGCTGCTTGTTTCAAGATTTTTAGAATGTCTTTCAATACAAACTGCAGCTTCTAACAAAGTTCAAAGCTAAGATAACATAGTACATACAGTAATTCATTAATTTACTAACTTTACGAAAAACAAGCTCACCCAGATATCTGTATATATCATCGCACATTTTCTTTACAAAATCCTTTTGCAGTATTAAGGAGAACCACTAGGGAGATACCTATGTATCTAAAACAGCTATTTACTCGGGAAAAATAGTGGTGACCGGAGATAGGATGTTAAAGTAAGATTATGGTTCTCAAATTCAGACTTTTTTTTTTTTCAACCAGATAAGAAAGAAAGACCAGGAAAAGCAAGCAAGAAAAATTAAGGTCATTTACAAGTTATATAAACGCAACAACAACACGATGATTTTAAGCAAAAATCAAAGAAAAACAAAATTAAAAAAACTTGGCCGACGTTGAAATGCCTCTCCATATTAGCATTCTACAAAACGAAATTCACAATATGAGAAATTCATTTGGGTTGATGATCTTGGGCATCTTTTTTTCTGCCTCCTTTCTAATAATAACCTCGGATGCGTGTCATCCAATTGATCGCGAAGCATTGCTGGATTTTAAAGCCAAAATCGATGACCCTGCGGGTAATTTGGGATCATGGCTTCCAAAAACCGATTGCTGCACCGAATGGTATGGCATTGAGTGCAATGATGCCGGCAGAGTGGTGACGATTATCCGGGGTGGGGCGAACGGCGATGGCGAATCCCCCGTAGACCTAACAATGGGTGGAAATATATCCCCCTTTATTGGCAACATTTCCGAACTCACAGTTCTTGATCTTCATGATCTCAAGAATTTGAATGGATCTATACCTTCAACGTTTGGAAAATTGCGCAAATTGAAGATGCTTTATCTATACAACAATCAGCTCTCTGGAACTATCCCTCCATCTGTTTTTGAATCTCTTACATCTCTTACAATCCTTGATCTGCATGAAAATCGATTTTCTGGCCCAATTCCGCCGTCTATTGGCAAGGCTGTTTCCTTGTCCAATATCCTATTGACCCAAAATAACTTCACTGGTGGGATTCCTCAAAGTATTGGAGATCTTAAAATACTAGATAACCTTGATCTGTCTTTCAACCAATTAACTGGACCAATCCCACAAACCATCGGGGGGCTGTCTAATTTAACTCAGTTAAATCTTGACAATAATCAGCTTAGTGGGGATATTCCTTCTTCCATTTCTGGTCTCGTTAAACTAAAAGTCTTCAGTTTAGCGAGTAACAATCTTTATGGAAATATCACAGCTATTCCCAAACTAAGATCTCTGCAAACACTAAGGCTGTATAACAACCAGTTTGCAGGACTATTACCCGAAGAACTTGGAAACTCATCTTCTATTAGTGGAATCTTTCTCGCCAACAACAATTTCACAGGAAAAATCCCTTCAAGTTTTGGCAACCTGCAGGGCCTCCAGGTTCTGGATTTGTCGCGAAATAAGATTACCGGACCAATCCCCTTGGAGCTTTTGAAGTTGCAGGGATTGGGAAGCTTGGACTTATCAAATAATCCTCTTGAAATAGGCATCTTGCCCAACTGGATGCAAGAAATGAAAACACAGGGCTTATCATTGGCAAGGACAGGGGTCAAAGGGCAGCTTCCGAATTGGCTGGTTTCATGGTCTCCGTTATTGAAAAACCTGGATTTATCAGACAATGAATTGACAGGGGAATTGCCCAGGTGGATTGGGAGCCTGAAAAATCTCAATTCTCTGAACTTATCTTGCAACGCATTCCAGGGTTCCATCCCAGAGGAATTCAAAAATCTAACTAAGCTAACAGATCTTGATCTTCGTTCCAACAACTTCTCAGGGGGGCTAAATACCATACTCACAAAACCTAGTGACTCCGATGGGTTACTGTACAAAACCATTGATGTTTCCAACAATTCTTTTCCCGGACCAATCGATGACAACATTTTAAGC